TCTATTATAATTATAAAATTATGTAAAAATTATAACAAAGATACTATCAGAGAAAAAGAGAACAAATCTGAAATGAGAGATGATGAAATAAGTCAAACTTTCTCTCGTAAGGCAGTTTTAATATAGATATTAAAACATACTTTTAGCGCCATCTCTTAGATCGCATCCAATTTTCTCTAGAGATTATCAGAGGGGATACTAAAAAAACCAACACGTATATTTATTAAGTTATCACAAAGTTTATTTTATATAAAACATGTTACACATATAAAAAATTCAAAAAAAACTTAATCTGTTATAAAATTTAAAATTGCTTTCTTTCATTCTTCTCTCTTTATTCAATCAAACTGGCATAAAAAAGAGAAAAAGGACGCGTGTTAAAAAGGACTACAACTTTTATTATACAAAATGTCGATCGTTTGTACAAAAAGGTGTATTTTTATATATTACATCGCTTATAGTGAATCCAACTTGAACTCCAGGATACGGACGACTAAACTGGAATAAAATAGCGTGATGCTTTATAATAAGGAACATACGAATACGCAATTAGCATTCAAACTCTGATTCACTTAAAAGCGATGGTAGCTTCACATGCCTATATTCTGTCCTACAATCACATACTCCATCCAAATAGGAGTATAACAATAATTTTCAACATGCAATTTATTACTTTGCACCTCGTATACACGTATTAACTAATAATCGTCACATATATTATGCGCATCGTTATCTCGCTAAAAAAGAGAAGGAAAAGAATTAGATCAACGTGGCACTTTCTCATAGAGTCTTTACACTCTCACAGAGAAGATCGGCAAAAGTAGGAAACGTGAGAAAATACGGAAGTACGAGGAAATTTGAAAGCAGATACGAGACGAGAGATGACGTTAAAATCTTTTTAAGACTCTTTTTAAGACTTATTTGACTCGTAACGAGATTAAAAGAAAATAAAAATATTTTGCAAAACGTATCTTTACATTCTTCATGAGCCTTTCAGACTAAATTGGAAATCTATTATAAAATACAAATTACTATTAACCACCGGTCTGTCAAGAAAAGATAATATTTTCAAAAACATAATCCTCTATAAATATTTATCACAAATTTAATAAATTCACTATTATTGTAAATATTTTTTTCTTTCATAATACATAATTTTCGCAAGTTGGTCATGAAATTGCTACTGTATTTATTAAATGACAACAATTGAATTATACTTGATAGACCGGCTGTCAATTTCACCTCGCACGGACGAGCGTTCGTTGTTCAGCAAAACAATAACATGCCCGAACGTAACCGTTTCAAAATCAACTAATATATTATAACACGAAGAAACATCATGAAAGACCCCAATCTTACGCTTATCATCCCACCACCGTTTTGCATTTGTACTTTTACGATCCCGCGCGCGTTGCGGCAATCAATTCGCGGCGAACTGACACAAAAAAATGACATAACTGACAAGACAAATCGTAAAATCGCCATCATTGTTATCATCGTTATTGTGTCCGTCCGCGAAAAATCGTAAACACCTAAGGAATTAAGCTAAATCGCATTAGGGTTACGAAGAGGTTTGAGCTGCCAGCATTTCCTCCTGCTGTATCCTTCTCCGATAATTATCCAATGTAACTTGTATAGTCTTCTCAGAGTAACGGCAGTTTTCGGCACCGCAGGTACATGTGAAGGACTTGCACTTTATTATCCAGAATTTCTCGCCGTAATCAAAGCTAAGGGCAAACAGATCCATATTGATCTTTCGTGTGATATTAGCGAAATAACGTAACGTGAAAAACGAAATGAGATTGTAACGAATATTCTTAAAAATATACCATCACCTTAATCCATTGTGCATTGTTATCAGATATGAAAGTATAATAAAATTTATGCCTTTGTTAGAAATAGCGTAAATAAAAAACTCAATTTTTAAATTTTAAAATTATAGATAAAATTACAGAAAAAAAAAGAAAAAATAATTTCTTGTGATTCTTGTGTTTTAAATCTTCAAAAATAAATAATATGATGAATAAAAAAAATAGTGTAATCCATTAAAAGATTATGACAATTATTTAAATATAACTGTTAAATATCTTTATTTAATAAATGTAACATTTTATCAGTTTACATTTAAAAGAAAAGAAACTAAATTTATTATATTAAAATATATTATTTAAAATATATATATTTGAGTCACGACACACACATATTTAAGAAATATAGAGTAACGAAGGTGAAAAGAAAACTACAACTACGCTAATGATCAGAAAAAAAACAAACATTAAACAATTTATTAAAAAAAAAATCGCTGTGCAACAACGTATTTTTGTTAGTTAGTTTAGAAGCTCAATGAGAGTGTCTCAGTGATTTCCCGCATCTCAATGACTTCAACCGCTTTTTAACATACCCGAGCTCTTCATCTGCCTCGATGTCGCGATTAGCGAAGAATGCTATCCTTGGAAAATGTAAATCCTGATGTTCGACGAACACTCGTACTGGCAACAGATTCGGCGCACATGAATGATTAATGAACCGAGCAAGATTTCCATAACGTCTCGCATCTATACAGTATGTTTCTCCATCCTGCACACAAAATTAAATTTTCTTATATATAAGAATACTATAATTAATAAGAACATTTTATATATTAGAATAAAACAAGTTATAAATTTAATAAACTAAATAAATAAAAAATATTCAAAATATTATAAATATTTAGGAAATATAAATATATAAACAAGAAAATGAAAAAAAAGTAAGAAAAAATTATTAAAAAAAGAATAATTGAAAATAATATAAGATAATTCAAAATAATCTCATTTTCGGAAGTTTTTAAAAAAGTTTTCAAAATCTTTAAATAATCTAATTTTTGTCATCCTGTATGTAAGGAATTTTGAATACAAAAAAAAATCTATGATAAAAACAAGAGAAATTCCAAACTAAACTGAATGATAAATCATGACACATCTCTTGAAAAATGAAAAACAATCACAAATTTAAAAATACAGAAATAATATGCAGAAATTGAAAGCAAAATTATATTTTTCGCTTCTTAGCTAAAGTAAAAAATAAATAACTCACTCTATTGTCCAAATCGAACAAATAGGAATCATCTTCCCGATGGTCAGCTTCGGAATCCGAGATTATCTCGCCAACATATTCGCAAACATAGGTGCCTTTAGGAATATGTCGAAGTGTTCGGAGACCCCAGCCTTTGCCTTCTGTACGAAACAATTGGAACCGCTGTGTCAAACCGTGCTGGATTACTCGATTGTTACACGTAATACGGTTACAATCACAGGCTGGGTTACACTCAAACAACATTGGTGGATCTATAATAGAAATACTATTTAAGACACTAATTTTAAAGAACTTTTATAAAATAAATACATGTGCCGCAACTTAAATTAATCTATGATCTATTGAAATGATCTAAAGAATTTTTTGCTCGAATTCTTTCTCTCTCCTCCCCCTCTCTCTATATTTTATACATAAAAAATTTTTAAACGCTAAAATCTAAATACCTGCATAATTGAATTCTGGTATAAGCTTTCCTTCCTCATCATACCAACATCGCAGACTTATATTTCCACATAAGCATTTTTCGGAACTGCAATTATCTTCACATCGACAAGATTGTAGCGATGTAATCGTACGGTCGACATTAATGTTGCTTGTAAAGCAATTTTCCGTTACATAAAGA